CTCTCTCTCTCTCTCTCTCTTTCTCTCTCTCTCTCTCTCTCATTCTCTGTTACTTGCTTTCTGCTTCCCTCGATTCCACCTCCTTTCCGCGTCTCATTCTCATTACGAAGTTCCCGGTCATCAAATTTTATTAGCCCCCACTTCAGGGTCGGCCCGCCTTACTTCTAACTCAATATCGTAGATTCGTAGTCTCGGTTTAACTACCCTCCCACCCTCTCTCAGCGCAACGCACACGGAAGCACACCTACACACACTGACTAGCTCTTTCTTGATATCTCTCTCTCTCTCTCTCTCTCTCTCTTCCTTTTCTCTTCTTACACTCTCCAGCATGTGCGCTTTTCTCTTCGCATCTCTCACTCGCCTTCGAATGCAAGCGCAGTGAGCGACTTTGAAAGAGGCAATAATTCCGTGCTCTACGGCCAAGAACTAATTTCCACCAGTCTGACAGTGCACGGGAAGGGGGTTAGTAGAGAGCAGGCAAGAGAAGACGAAAAGTAGTCTCACCTCGGGGCTCTCTTTTCGACTTCTCTCGTTCCTCACGGACGATTCGTTTTCGCGCGCGCCCTTTTATCGCTCGACAATGGTGCGCCGGGGTGTAGCCACCTCGGCCCTACGTGGTCAAGGGTCGCAGCCAATAAACTTTGCCAGCGGGCTACTAACCTACGTGTCGGTCGAATCTGTAGAAAGATGGTAACGGCCAAGAAAGAGAGAGAGAGAGAGAGAGAGAGAAGGGAAAAGATCGGGCAAGGCCTTTCTGACGGCGCGGCGTGAAGTTTCCGCTTCGCGTCCTTTAATTGCAACGGCCAGAATTGGAACTAACGACTTTCTTTCGATAGCGTTTAAAAGCCATGGCGACGGTGCTGATGTGACATTTACGAACGTGATGTCGGAACGGTTGCCTCTGCGTTTTTTACCACGTTCGAAAGACTGATGGTTGGCACTATTCGGAAACGTGAATTGAAAAAACAAACAGGGAATAAAATGAAAGTGATCGATATAAAATTATAGCTATTAGATAAATCGAAAGAATATAAAACGATATATATTACGTTGTACAAAATATATAATATATCGAACAGTAATTATACTCTGATACATTTTATAAAGTTACTTTCTGTTAAAACGCATTTCCTTCATTAACGAGAAATAATTAGCTCGGTGATGCAAAATAGCTACTTTTAAAGAGGCTTTCCGGATATAATTTATACCAGTTTCAAAAGAAAATCCACTCAACCTTGTGGCCAATGAAAATTAAGTTCATCAGAGTTGCAAAGAAGTTAAACTATCACGAGGTCCGAGTAATGATTGTAATAATTGGCGAGATAGTAATCTGAAGTTCGTTATCGTGCATTACATTCGGTAGACGGGGCCATTGCGAGTAATAAAAGTTACCGAAAGCTAGTAGTAAAGCTATAAAATTAAATCCATAGAGCGAGGAGATAAAAGCGAGAGGGAACGCTTTCGAAAGAGATCGAGAAGAAATTTTCCGCCCTATATAGCTCAACAACCTGGCTGACTTGCGGTTTCAAATTCTAATTAACGTGATTCTACGCGGGTAGGAATTATCTTTTTTTTTAATTATTTTTCATTTTGAAGATTTCATTTCGCGGTCTTCATATTGGAAACACGTGCATTTCCTCTTAATTAATGTAATATCATACAAGCTCGATATGCGATTTAAACGGATCGGGGAAATTGAATGATAAAGACGATATAGAAATTAATGGCGTTTTAGTTACGGATCGTGCGACATACTCAGCAATCGCGGAAAAGCCACCTAATCCTCTTACATCTTTGCGGACTCGCGTTGGATGCACGCTGACCGACTCTTTGAAAGGTTCGCTCTGTAAGCCCTTAAACCCATCTCGGGCGCAGCAATTCCAGACCAATTTCGAGAAAATTCAATCGTGAAATATACAGCACGGGCAACGCTGCGAGGATCGACGGATCGACAGAAACAATAAGGACGTGAGACTCAAATCCCTCGTTCGTTTCGTGCGAAACAAATTAAGAATCGATTGGTCATCTCTACTTTTTTTTTTTCTCCGTAAGCTTACCAACTTAATAATGTAATGTAACTATAATTACAAACATTGCAATAATTGCATTTCAAGTAAAATTAAATTTTTACGAAAAGAAATTAATTAAACACACGATAGACATAACGCATTTTCTTATTCGCAATTTAATTGAAAAGAATTCAACGAAATTGGAAAGAAACGCGATGACTTACCTTTTGCTGTTGCGTTTGCGCGGGCTCGGTGGAAAGAAGCTGCTTCAAGGCCGCGTGCCCGTGACCATTCGTTGTGGAGGTTGCACCAGGTGTGCTTGGTGTGCTGGGATTGCTTCCGGGGGTATTCGGCGTATGAGGCCCGGTCGTTGGGCTGCAAGGACCGATGATGTCATTGATTTTGCTGCCGGCGTGATGATTCTCCGTGTGTCTCCTCAGGCTCCTCGCGTCGCAATAAGACTTGCCGCATCCTTCGGCTTTGCACTCGTACGGCTTTTTATTTCGATGTGTCAGCATGTGTCCATTCCTGCACAATCGAAAAGATTTGGCTTGTTAGTTTCAAAAGCATAAATCCATATTTTCATTATTTGCAAAGCATAATAGTATAGCATAGTTTTTCAAAACGTTTTTAATTCCTTCACGGAAAGAACGGTACTTTGCTAAAGTACCTAAAAATTCACGAGATCTGAGAATAATTTTAATTCTGACTGAGATAATATTTTTCGCAATTAGTTCTATATCGAATTAATTTCGGGGGAATTATTTAATTGATATATAGGAATGTCCGAATGTTTCGGCGCACAGTCATATCTGAGATAATTAAATTTAAAAATTAAGAATATATATTGTATTCATAACATCTAACTTTGACCGATTATTGGCGTTCTCTCTCATATTTATGAAAATAATTTTGTTGGACTACCAAAATAATTATGTAAAATGTTCAAGCACGATGAACAATGTTTTTGACAAATATTTTCAGCGTTTTAGATAATTATTTTGATGGTCCAACAAAATTATTCTTAAATCTATATCTAGCTGAATTTTTAGATAACTTCAACAAAATTATTCTCTCCGTCTTCCTCAAGAAAGGAATAAATCGAACATTTTGTGTGTGAAATTAAGAAAAGTTCAGTCCTCGCTTGAGAGAATCTCATAACTTACTTCTACTCTTTCCTTTCATAAAAACTTAACTTAGTTAACAACAATTAAAACTTGCGATAAAAACAAAATTTGTAATACGATCACAGTTATCCAATTTATTATAATAAATTTCGTTCAGAAATTTTAACTTTTTAAAGAGGACTCGTCATCTTTTCCGACAGAAAATCGCCTGCTGGCATTTCAACCGGAATATAAATCAACTGTAACATTTCGGTCAGGAAATATCTCACCAAGGCTGGAATATCCTACGCGCTCCTATTCGAATTCCTCTCGCATTCAGCATTAATCATAAGAACGTCTCGGGCGACACGCTATATAGCATTCGCGGATGCTCGATGGGCACGGAAATCTGATCGTACACCTGCTCTTTAGTGCCCGCCCGAAATTATGTCGGTCCGATTATGTCGCTTATCTATATCGACGATCTACCCCAGGACGGGATATCCCATATACCGCTGGGCACGATTCCCCCTGTCTTATCTAGGAGGAACATCTCAAACTCATCCCTAGTGTGTCGCCGTTACACCCCGCTAGTCCACCTAAAGACTTATCCACTCCATTTGCCCGATATTCTGGTTGACATCTACAGGGCAAAACGCGCTCGCGCGCGGAATCGCTCGAAGGGATTCCTCCTCCACCACTCTGATGTTCTGGAAATAAAACCTGGCCATTCTCTCTGCATTACCAACGAACGCTGGAAAAAGACGTGGAGATCCGAGGATGTGTCCGGCATGCAACAAGTTGCGCGATTTCACGATGCCCGATTACGCGATCGCGATAAAATCCATGACCTCCATTGACGCGATTCGCAGCCGATTTCATCGTTGACGACTGCAATGGCAAGATTGTCGATCGGCTCGATAAGCAGAATAATACGCGGTGTCTCGATTGAAATACACGATCTATTTGTAAATGAGACAATCGTCAGCTCCTTTTTTTTATATCGATATTCACGAAAGAGACAATTTCCTTTTGTAGTCTGAAAACTGAGCTAAATACAGAAAATAATATTGTTAGACCATCAAAATAATTATGTTATAGGAAACTCAAGTATGATGAGAAATCCTGCAAGAGTATTAACATTTCAGCAACAAATTATTAATTATTTTCAAATCTGTATCTAGCTATATTTTTAGATTATTCAGCAAAACCGTCTTTCCCATGCAAAGTGCAATGCAAAAAGATTCCAAAATATATTTATCTTTTATATATATTTAGAAACATTACTTCTTTGATTAATTTAAGATTAATTGCAACACTGAGAAAAATGTTGGACTTACAAAAACTTTTTTTACTTTTCAATTTTTAAATTTCGTTGCTCTAATAAAAATTTGGTTAAGACTACTACTAATATTTAAGATTAATTTCTAATTCGACCGTATACGCAATCGACAACACACACATTATCTAGTGTATTTATATAAATTTCGTCGTTGTACTTTCTCGAAAGGACTGCCTCTTTTGTTCCCTAAAACTTTAACGAGATCCCAAGCGTGGACATCCTTCGTCGGATCTTCCGCAGTGGAACCGTCCGCAGTGGATTGCAAGA